TCCTTCCTTATTTCTTTTATATTCCATCCCACCTCCTTCATTCCTGACCCCCCCTCAAACATGGCTTTTAGATGATTAAAACACAACACAGAGTAATAGAGGTTTTTTTATTGCTATTGTTCACTCTCACATCGCCCGCTGGCACTGATTGCGTCTGTTTGAAAAATAGTCCACCAGGTTTTACTTCAGGGCGACATTATTCATCAGGTATTTGGTGACATTATAGGGAGACAGGAAAGAAAATGTTGGACAGATACAAAACACAAAGTATATCAGGATGATTGAGCCTCACAAAATACTACACAACGTAACAGTACTTCCCAGAGAAAAACATATTCATCAAATAAAATTTGTCCGGTGCCAACGCTTCCATTCAACATTATGTTGGTTCTAACGATGGAAACCATAATGGAAGGAGCTTCAGTTTTCCATTCATCTGTGAAAAATGTGCAGAAAAAAATTAGGAGTTTGTTGGAAAACCTGGAATGGTTAAGATTCTCTTCGCTCTCCATTAGGAGTGCTATAACCGCAGTTTGAATTGTCTGTACATTTAGAGCACTTTTATCACTGTGCTACATGGCGGTTCGGCTGTCATGACTGCAGTGCATCGTGGGTTTTTAATAATTTAAATGCATTCTTGTATTGCAGATATTTTGCTCTATTGCGGGGTTTTGCGGTATATAAAAATATTTAAATTTCCAATGTTTTCATTATTTTTGTGACAAAATAAGCATTTTCTAGCCTAAGAAGAAAAAAAAAACTGTTAAAAAAATGTGTAAAAAAAATAATTGAAAGACATTTTGTAACCCATACCCACACAACGGCCTCCCCCTGTTCACTTTGGTGATGGGTTAAAGGCAGAGGTCACATTTCGTGGTGTGCAGTGATGTTCTGTGTCACAATGACAAGTAGTTCACGTTCACACGTTCACATACAGGGTATTGCAAGAAATAACCTGTACGTACGGATAAATGAGATTTTAAAAAGTTTCATTACGTTTTTTGCCATATTTCACGTCCTACATTGCCTCCTAAAGGGTTCGTAAAGGGTTAATATATACGTAAATAATATAATAACGGGTCTCTACTTCATGGTTTTCGCTATCGTCTTGGAACCTCACTCCACAATAAACGAGGGACGTCTGTATATTTTATATATATATATATATATGATGTATGCAGATAGCCCCATCAGTTGTAATAGGTGCTGTGTAAAACACAGCAGTGTGTTGGAAGTGTAGTACCAAAAGCCTTCAGAGGGGGATATATATAAAACCTTCAGGTTTCTTCCTATTTTAGCCTAATGGCTGTCGTCCCTAACAAGCTCTTCACTTGTGTAAACCAGAATACACTGGAGCTTGTCATCTTCCTGTCCATCCCAACCTAACAACGTTCAATTTCGCCTCCGGCATTTATGGATGCATTGTCTTTTGAAGTTGACACCATAGAGATACTGTATGTATTTAGTTATACCATTCTACTCAGTTTATGAAAAGACCCTTACTGCTTGAATATTAAAAAAAAGAAAAAGACGCGCTTCATGAAATTGGCAGCTTCGCTGAAGGAAAAGGAAGCATTTGAAGGATGAAGACTGGGGTCAGATAGATGATAAATGCTGGTACTCTTTATTGTCACCACGTCTGGCTCGTGGCTCTCTGAGGTCAGAGATTTATAATAAAAGTTTCAGCCGGTGGTTTTTCTCTTTTTTATGGCTTGACTTTGAATAAACTTCAGCCTGAAGAATTCAATACTGCAGGATTTTAATGTGGCACTAACACACTCACACACACTCACACACACACACACAGAATCACCTGCAGGCAGCGCTATATAGTATATGTTGACAGATTGAGGAGGTGGAGCTTAAAACATCCACTCTGACCCTGGCAACAACATCATGGTGATACAGCAGCTTGAGTGTCAGTTTGTGTGTGTGTATATATGTGTGTGTTCAGATTGTGCGTGTGCAAGGCTGCACAAAGTGTTTACTTCCCGTGTATTTGTATTCACAGCGAGTCACAACAACAAGTACAACGACTCAAAATGACACTGAATAAAACAGAATGAGTCTTAGAACTAACTCTGTACTGTGTACTGCTTTGTGCAATTCTCTAGTCACATCCTGTAAGTACGAGGCAGCCATCTGTCCACCCAGCTCTGCCCGCCTCACTGCTGCTGCCGCTGCTGCTGCTGTTGCTGATCCTCTGCTGAGTCCAGCAGCAGATATCAGCAGTGTTTGTTTTTTCACATCGTTCTCTGAGCAGGTCTGAGCAAAAGAACTCACGGAATTACAGCAAATCTGTCGGAAACTAAATCTTAAACTTATTATTGTTATTTTTTATTGACAGTATATTGAAGGATACATTTTAGGTTAAAACAATTTTTAAATTAGTGGTGCAGGCAACCATAGCAACCAGCAACTATGTCTTATGACATAGGACACAGTCCATCAACTGTAGGATGTCACTCAGGGACTGGATCGGAGTCCACTATGTTCCAATTCCTTTATGTGAAGTTGGGACTTTACAACAATAACACATTGCTGATGGAACCTTGTCTTGATGTGTGGGTTCTAGTGAAAAAACCTGAGCTCTGGTGCAGGTTCGACAACGTACCAGGGCAGGTTTAACTGAAAATCACTACTGACTAGGTTCTGGCAGCTTTTGCCTGAGGTCAAACCTCCATTTGTGCACTTTCCATAAACTTTGCCAATTCCTCTGAGAGTAAGAGTAAACCTTACTTTGTCGAGTGTTATCTCCCCAGCATGTCCAGGTCTTTGTCAGGGTCTCATGTCATTGACATCTCCACAAACATATTGAGTGGGTGCCCCAGTAACCTCACATTGACTTAGTCAACAAGTTGAGGTTATTGGGGCTCTTGTTTGAGGTCCTCCTGACAACATCTCTGAGGCTGAGAAAAATTTCTAGAGGGCTGATGGAACATGGAATCTCAGGAGTCAATATAGAGAATACCATATTTTTCAGACTATAAGTCGCACTTTTATTCGTCCTTTGGCTGGGTTTGCAACTTATACTCAGGTACCTGGGGCTACTGGACCTGATGCCCTCATGGCTGCATGCAGACGTTCTATCAATAAAGATTAGGAACAAAACCAATGACAAATGGGAGCATTACCAAATTCTTGCGGGGTTTCGGCCTGACTTATTTGCACCAGTAAGAACCCAGCTCTACTATGACAGTACAAAGATTAAACAGCCTGTAGCGGCTCTTTCTGTTTTTGTAGTTGTTTTATTGTGTCACTATTGTTAGCAGCTGACACCATGCCTTAAAAATCTGTCCTATTCCACAGCCCTCAAACCATAGAACACCTGAATCCTACTGACAGGAGTCATAACACCGTGGCACATAGATATTAGTTTTAGTGCTTCTGATTCTCATTCTAAAGGGTTTCTGCTGAGGAACAAAAGTTATTCAGCTGTTTTTTGGAAATACAGATTTGTTTCTGGGGAAAAAAAAGGTTATTTATATATTAGGAAACACATTAAGGTGCCATTAGTCAGGCTTCATTTTTATACTTTTAGACAGAACCATTCAGGAGATTTGAGCCTTTTAATGGATTTCTCCCAACTGACAAGTATTTAAATCTAAATCCTCTCTCGTCTGGGTCGGTGGTTTGACAGTTTTTAACTCTGGCCTCCACAGCACTCAGAAAGACACACTGAAAATACAGCCAGAACTTGGCTAAGGAATATTCACTGTTACATTTTTAATGAACGATGTCAAAGGTTCAGGCCTGTAGAACAAACCTAAACTTGTTTTCATTCCTCACTGACGGTCAGGAGTTGTCTGGATTACTTTGATTACAGTATCTTAAATTCTAAAAATTGGGGTTATTGAGATGTTGCTGACCATGAAGCTGTAACCAGGGGTGGCTCGATCAAACTTTCATGTCTGGTACTAATATTGCACTAATATTGAGTATCTGCCAATACCTTCTAGTGTCCCTGTTTATCGTTGTTTTTTTGGATGATCAATCCTATAATTTTGACCAATATCGGACCAATCCTGAATATCAAGTCAAGCCATCCCTAATGTATATTATATTGAATAAACAGATATGATTAGCCAAAGAATGATGTGGCATGCATTGCTAACTTTCGCCACAGGATCACTACCGGGAAATATCTGTAGACAAGCCAACGATACAGTAAGGAGTTTACAGAAGAGTAGGTGTGAATATCTCCTTCTGTCAGATGACCAAACGACTAGTTACAGTGGTGATAATAGTTAGGTGGTAGTGTTGGAACTGAATGATTGAACCAAAACATTTCCAACTTCACGATTTCCTGGATCCTCTGCTAAGGGACACAGATGAAACAGTAGCGGCTGAAGGTGTCCCTTCATAAAGCGTCCACTCGTGCAGCTTTTCATCACTTTTATGTTGGACACAGAGTCAGAATGGGTCTCTGTACAACCAGGACAGGAGGCGGAAAATTCCATTTCTCCTTGAAAAGCCCTGCCTTCTATAATGTTCACATACGAATTGCTCAGCAGAAAATCCTGACTGTGTATAAACTGAAGTTATGATAATAAAACCTTGGCGATAGTGTTGTCAGGCTGCAGAAAGACGATAAGAGCTAACGTTTCCTCTGTTGTTTTTCTCTCCTCTCCCACTCTCTGTGACTCTGTATTTTCTCTCCTCTTGATCTTTTGCTCTCCTTCTGTCGTTTCCTGTGTCTTCTGCAGTCCACACCACTGCACCTGGCAGCAGGATACAACAGGGTGAGGATAGTTCAGCTGCTCCTACAGCACGGAGCAGATGTCCATGCCAAGGACAAGGGGTAGGTGCAAGTGAAGAAGAGCAAAATAGAGATGACGACAAATTCTGATTATTGGAAATGTTTCATCATCATGATCATAAGTCAAAATATGTGGTGACCAGTAGGTGTGTTTTTGTCCCTCCAGTGGTCTGGTGCCTCTACATAATGCCTGCTCGTATGGACACTATGAAGTTACAGAGCTTCTGCTAAAGGTAAAACTGAGGGCTGGGATATTAACACAGTCATTTTGACTTTATTTACAGACAAATAATTCATCAGTTTTACCCACTGATACATTTACTGTCTTTGATTAATTAATCATAATTAACCTTTTGCCAACTTTTTGTGATGTCTTGTGTGGACTTCTTTTTCTTTACTTACTTTAAGTAAGCGTTGAGCTAAAGTCAGCTAAAAACTGTAACAACATTTTCTGCTCTAATTTTGAGAAACTTTTATGTATTTTATTGTATTTTAATTTCCTCACTAATACCAATTTATTGTTGGGATATTTTTATGCTTTTTTATTTTTATTCTTGATGTTTTTGTAATTTTCAATTTTTAGCTACTTCTTTATTGTCTTAAATCTAGCTAATTCTAAAACTTTAGATGTATCTGAAGAGGTCCCCAACCCCCATTATGGACCATATGAATTTGTGAGTCTTTTTCTTGATCTTTTGTTTTTTGTTTTTCTTTTAGCATGGCGCCTGCGTCAACGCCATGGACCTGTGGCAGTTTACTCCGCTGCACGAGGCGGCGTCCAAGAACCGAGTGGAGGTCTGTTCCTTGCTGCTGAGCCACGGTGCCGACCCCACGCTGCTCAACTGCCACAGCAAGAGCTCAGTGGACATGGCTCCGACTCCTGAGCTGAAGGAGAGACTCACATGTGAGTGTGTCCTGTCACAGAGTCGACCTCAACCCAGCTAATTCATAAGAAACATCTGAATGACTCACGGTACTGAGTGAATGACTACATGGAAGGCTGTATATACACCTGTCAGGGTTTGACGCACTTGAACCATATTTGTGATAGTCTCCTTAAACTGAGTGCTGTTGTTTTCCCAAGCGGAAAAAAAGGACCTATGAGCGTGAAGTGAGTCAGATGCCAGTTTCTGATAACATGCAGATTTTACATGCATGGATTAACTGAGCACGGCAGCGTGAAGATTCCAGTACTGTCACTTCTGCAGTCTTTTATTTCACAAAAGAAGATAAGAAAAAAAAAATTCTTCAGCTTCAAACCACAAAAGCAAGCAGCAACAAACAGAACAATAAGGTATCTAGTACATACACGCTTCATTGAAAAACTAAATAATGCACCAAAATGTATTGACAACACTGACCCCTAGAGGGAGCTAAACTACTTATTGTTACATGTACCATAGTTTGGGAACCGCTGTTCTAAAAGAAAATTAAAAGAAAATAAAAAAATGTGTTCTAGTAGGTGAAAATGTGATTTTAATCATTAAAAATAAATAAAAAAATGTGTTCTAATAGGTGAAAATGTGATTTTAATCATTAACTCCAGTGTACATACATTAGACTGACTGAATAAATCAGTTCTGAAAACTATTTTTTTGCATTTCACTTTAGCAACCCTGATTTTAATTATTAATATATTAAATTAATTAAAAATAATCAAAGCTTGCTTTTGCTTCAAACAATATTTTCAAACAACTATTAGCTACAATATTTTAATAATAATACCTTTTTTTTCACCATCAGCAGAATATGACATTAAACACAAAGCACTTGTGTTTCAAAGTCACCTGACCTAGGAAAAGAAAAATATATATATTTCCAGGTCCATTTCCAAGATAAAACATCAGTTTCCTCACTCCAGCAAAAACCCTTCTGTCCATCCTACATTATTTAAATATTCTCTCGGCCTCAGTTGGAAATTCAGAAATCTTTGAAGGAATGTCCTTTTTTCAACTTCATACAGAATAAAAAACCTCTACTTGGGTTTGTCTGTTTTGTAAACAAGGACAACATATTCTTTCTGTGAACAGGATATTTGTCATTCACCTTATGATTGACACCAGGGTGGGTCGGGTATAGAATGGATTTCTAAAGGTATAGTGTGACATTTAAAAAATATATGTATTTTTTTTCTTTAGCAGTAAGGTTGCCAGGCAACTGAGTCCTCAGGGGCAGGAAATGCCTGCTAATATGTATGCAGTATATATAACACTGTTCACATAAAGGTTTTATCATGACTGGTATGATGATGACAGTCAGTTACTGCTTTGAAAAATGTCATTCATATCCAAGTTGAATAAACAATCACAACTTAGCAATATTATAAACATTAGCCAAAATGCTAAAACATACCGCAAGGAAAAGACTGAGCTTGCTTTGTGCTAGAAGTTACGATAAACCAAAATTTTAAAATAGCTAATGTCATGCTAGCCCCAAATTGTATTAGAAAAGTCACCAGGTTTTAAAGGAAGATTCAATATTTGTTCAAATTTAACTAAAATATATATTTTTTCAGTCCTAAGGTTGAGCTTTAATCACTTGATTCCACCCGTACTCAGACGACATTAAAATTTTTAAAAATAAAATGACAAGCTTATTCATCTAAATATCCAACATTTAAATCTAGAAACTTGTGTAAGGGTTGACTTCATGATTGAGTTCCGCACAAATTCAACTGTCCATGAATTAGAATACAAAGAGATATATTGAACACTGAAAATGTATTAAACAAAACATTAAACTAATACTGACATATACGTATATGCAATGGAGAAATAATAACAATATTAATAATAATATATTTCAGTTTTGCACAGGGAATAGATCAGGATTGTCTGAAGGTTTGATAAAAAGAAATTATGAAGTCTGTCTGATGACCTTTTGACCTACGCTCATGCTTATCTTCATGCTTCCTCAGATGAGTTCAAAGGTCATTCGCTGCTTCAAGCTGCCAGAGAGGCCGACGTGACCAAAGCCAAGAAGACGCTGGCGCTGGAGATCATCAACTTCAAACACCCCCACACACACGAGACTGCACTCGTAAGACACTCGTCCGTTACACACCATGATACACTGACACGTGTCCACGCAGGTAAATAATAAGGTCGATGTTCGTCTCTTGCAGCACTGCGCGGTAGCATCGCCTCACCCCAAGAGGAAACAGGTCACTGAGCTGCTGCTGAGGAAAGGAGCCAACGTTAATGAGAAGAACAAAGAGTGAGTGCTGCACTGTCTGATGTTTAACAAGGAGAGAATCACTGTCTGTGTTTGTCAGCAAACCAAATACTGTCAGGTTTTAGTTGCAGCTTCACAACCAATCATGATAACTGTCAAAGTGGGGCTGCGAGCCACAGCTTTTCTATGTCGGACATCTTACTGTTGTTCTTTAACAATTCTGAACATGTGCATGTGACTGTGTTGTCCCTGGATGGACAGATGTCTCATGGTCTTTGTCTGTTTTGGCCTGGTTTTACTCTAGTTTCATGACTCCTCTTCACGTGGCTGCAGAGCGAGCTCACAATGACATCATGGATGTTCTTCAGAAGCACGGAGCCAAGGTAAGATGTCACAGCCAGCACCGCCCTCGGCCACTACTGATGGACTAGATCATAATCCAAGGGTTTAACATCTACATCTACTAAACTCACTGCTACCTCTGCTGAAGTCAGCTTCATTTTGGTAGTGGTAATCCTCGTCCACATTTGGTCCGTGACAAACAAAACAAATGAACTGTTGAGCTTGACTGTCCACGACTGTTTGAAAAGTTCAGTGGAAGTACTGCCACAGTATTTGCATGTCATGAGTCCGTTATTATACTACAGTGTCTACTGCATTTATCACAGTATCACTGTATATTCTTTCTATGTATATTTATCCTATAATGAGTTTTTAACCTATATATATTATTTATATTTATCCTATAATGAGTTTTTAACCTACAAACCTGCTGCCAGTAACAAGAAATATAAATGATGTCTTGTCTTTGTGCATATCCAAATATTATGTAATGGAAACTATTATTAGATTATATTAAAAAATCATGGGACTCGGGAATCGAACCTCAAGCTCATTTGAATCTATACACATTAAGAAAAACAAAGCTAACTTAAATACTTCAAACCTGACCTTTGAACTTTTGAATATCACATAGTTCCCACAGACAGTTCTGAAAGAAAAAACAGTTTTGTGCCAAAACTTTGTCCGTGGGAATCGAGTCTGCTTCTCAGTGCTTCCACATTGGTCAGGTATTCATCAGTTGTGATGAAGTTAGCACTGACTCTAACAGGACCCCTGAGGTTTTCGCTGAATCATCAAATCATCATGACCTTAGCAGCAGGATCAGTTCTGACACTGAGGCACGTCTGGCACCTACACACTGACACCCGTTTGTAACACTGTTTAAAGGCAGAACTCTTTATGACTGCGCTGAGCTGACGGATGATTTATGAGGTCATTTGTTAGATGAGGCGAAAACAGATGTTGCAGCTTTTCAATTGATTTCCCCATAACATTATCTGCATCATGACATGAGGTGCAGCAAAAATCTCCATGTGAAAAATGTGCTGCTATCATTCACTCCAGTGGAAATGAGGTGTGAGGTTTTTTTATGCCCAACCATCTGCAAGGACTGGTTAGAGCTTTCACTGAAGTTTATGATCAGGAACTGGAAGATGGAGGTTTGTGGTGATGGGAAATAAAGAGGTTAGCAGTCAGAAAGTACAAACTAGTTTCATGGTTACGTCGCTATCTCCCAAGTTTAATAAGAAAGTGGTGTTCCATCATTCAGAGTACACAGTTAAAACCAATTTTGCACAGGAACTAACTGGAAATGGAATGAGGCGCTATACACCAGAGGTACACCATACATTGGATTGTACTACATTTGCTTTCTTTCATTTGTGTTGTTTTTTGGGGGACTTTTTGCCCTTTTTCTTCTGATGTTTTTCTGTTTATGATGTTACCACTGTGTTAGCGTAGGTGAGTGACACAGGTACTGATGTACAGTATGTGAGTCTGGACTTTTGGAGAAAATCGAGTTACGTTGGACTGTAGGAACGGAGCTCGGACATAAATCGAGGACCCTGTGCTTGGTTAAAGTGTTGAAGTTCTATTATTTTCTCCAGTGTGTTCTTTGTGTTCAATGGATCATCCATCAAATCTGACTCAAATCTGTGTACTCTGTTACCACTAAAATGCTCTCTTGGAAAAAAGAAAATACAAAATAGTTAGATTTATTGTATTAGTTATATTGGTAAAATCTTAATCCTTTTGCCTTATTCTGACCCCTCGTGGCATGCCCCCCACTTTGGGAACCTCTGCTATTACAACCACTGCTATTGTTACTACTACTAGGTGTCAATAACAATATAATCTGGCCCCTGCTGTTTATTTTTGTGTCCCTCCAATGACATGGTGCTGAGCAGCGGCCCCTCAGCTGAGCAGAGTAGAGACCCCCTGTCTGTGAACCATAAAAACTGTGTATGATGCAGGATTTTTGCGATACACACACTCAGAGAATCATTTTTATTATTTCAGAAATTGTCAAACATGAGTTTTTTCTTTTGTGTGTGTGTTTACAGGTGAACGCTCTGGACACACTGGGGCAGACGGCGCTGCACAGAGCCGCTATGGCCGGTCATCTTCAGACCTGCAGGCTGCTGCTGGGGTACGGAGCCGACGCCTCGCTGGTGTCTCTGCAGGGTTTCACTGCCGCTCAGATGGGAAATGAAGCTGTTCAGCAAATACTTAATGGTACAGAACCCAGTCTCTGTCTGTGTGTGTGTGTGTGTGTGTGTGTGTGTGTGGGCAGGTGGGTGGACCGGTGGTTTGTTGATGTGTGTGTGGTTGCTATGCAGTACCTGGCAACAGAGAATGAACAGGGTTTGTTGTGTTAAGGTCAGTATTGATCAATTTAGGAGGTACGATTTTCATCCAGGAAACTCCTTTTCTACATCGACACTAAAGATAGAGTTTCCTACTAACAGGGATTTTTTGACATCAAACAAAAACTGCAGTCCTTCGTAGTCAGTTAAAGTTCTAAAAACATGTCTGTAAATGTCACCGAAATCAGAAGGAATGGGTAATGGCAGTGAGATGGCAAGAAATAAAATTGGTTAAGAAAATAGTACAAATGTTTCTGAAAGAATGAAGAGTGAAAAAGGGCTTTGAGCTAACATAGCTAGTAATTGAACATATTAGCTGACAAGTTCTGCGTAAACATGACAAACATATATCTAAAACCAATTCTATAAAACAATTTTATCTAAGAACTAAATCAAACCTATAAAATGTTTCATTTCGCTGAGAGAAAAAAGTCTTTTTTAGACTTTAATCATTTCAATGCTCAAGGATTGAATAACCCTATAGAATAAAACTCTTAACCACTCAAGGCTTGGATAATGATATAATGATATTGAAGTTTAATGTGTCTCATCATTCTTCAGTTATTAAAAACAGACACCTTTGAAACTGTACCAGTTGTCTCAGAACTTTTTGACTCTGTTATTTTAGTGCAACTTAAAAGAAATAGCTCATGTCATTTTATACTAAAGCTCACCTGAACTAATCTCTGATTATACTCTGATGGGTTTTTGTCTTGCAGAGAACGTTCCGGTGAGAAACTCTGACGTGGACTACAGACTCTTAGAAGCAGCCAAAGCTGGAGACCTGGACACTGTCAAGGTGAGGAGCGTGTGTCTCTTTACTTCCTCTTTAGATTAGGTTTCCACAGTCTGGTGCTGAAAATGGAGCTGGGATGACGATTGTATGAAAGTTCATTTTCATTCTCGCTCCACAGTCGAATCATTTGTTTTACTGTTAAATCAAACAGCTTCACAGCCTCCAGGCTCAGCACATGTGTTTGAACCATTCTTCTGTGGTCACCTATGTGACACCACAGTAAACAAGTTCCAGACCTGATGGAACACCAAAGGTCACTGTGCACTGCCTAAGGTCAGCAGGTCAGAGACCACTCTTCAGGTGCGCCGATAGGGAGTTTAGGCCTCATGAAAAGAATTTTTACTCGGCATATGACACAGGCTGGTGAAAAACTTTTATGGTATTGAGATTTTTTTTTTTTTTTTGGGTGAAAAACTTTTATGGTATTAAGATTTTTTTTTTTTAGTGTCAGATTTTAGCAACAGGAAACATGTGTTGGATTGACTTCACTTACACTACAGGCCAAAAGTTTGAAATTAACATCAAATTTGTTTTTTCTTGCTTCGATTTCACTTTCTCTAAAGTACCTAATAGCACAGCAACACACACAACACTCTCGGAATACAAATATATTCCGATAAGTGATTCTTTATCTAATAATCCTGGTTAATTTACTGCAAAGTATATCAATGAAATTGTGATGTATTTGTTCAAACTTTTGGCCTGTGTTGAGGATATTTACTCTCGTAAATAGTTCCTTCTGTGATTGTACTTATTCTAATTAAGATAATCAGTCAGAAATAGACAGTTCACATGAGTCAAGTTTGTTTTTCCTGGTAATAAGATGACATCACTTCTCCACACAACCATCTTCGATCAAAGTATAACTGGGAACACACATGAAGAGGCCGCGGCCTGATTTTCATCTGTGTTTATGTTTATATCTGTCATCTGCAGCCATTTGTTCACAGGAAGCGGTAATGGTTTTTTAATCGCCTCATTAATGTGTGAGTGTTTCTCAGTCGAGTGAAATATGTGAGAAACTATGGCAGCTCTGTAATTAAATATGGAGATAAATTTGTTGTGCAGTAAGCCTGTAAAAACTAATTGTTTAGACAGAAGTAGTGACAATAAATATGAAGAAAAGCTCTAAGACTTTAGAAAGAAAAAGACCTTTGTTCACAATTATTTCTAATCAGTTTATCATTACCTTTGCTGCACTGTTAGTATAAAGGTCTAAGACGTGGTCGTTAGTTTGACCCCCCACCCTGATGTTTGGGATTTGTATCTTGACTCTGACATGCATTCTGACTTGACCTTTTTTTTTTTATGTATTTGCAATTTATAAATTAAAAGAATGCTAGAAGTTTGAGGGCATCCTTTAGGGGATGCACAAAAAGTTTGGTATTTATGAGAAATGGTCAGTTTAATTTCAGGAATGTCAAATTAGAGGAGAAACCCTAGATCATCAACCATCAACTTGTGTCCTGCAGATCCAATCCAGTCCACCAACCTGTCATTGGATTCCAAAATAAACATCAAATAATCATCAACCATCAACTTGTGTCCTGCAGACCGAATCCAGTCCACCAACCTGTCATTGGATTCCAAAATAAACATCAAATAATAATTTTACATGTGATCTTTATTTCATTTTATTTAAGTGTCCAGTCCCTAAGGTCAATTCTGACAAATTAAGTTGGTGACCTCTGGCCTATAATGACCTTTGGGGTTTTCAATAAAAAACAAAACAAAAACAAAAACAAAAAAAACCCTAAACCATAACATGAACCAACCCGCTTTACCACTGACATAGCAAAAACAGCTTTTAAAGCTAAAACTGTTGAGCTAAAAGAGGCCAAAGGCTAAGTTACTGAGACATTTTCTGTAAGTTAAATTTCCATGCTTTCCTTTAACAAACAACTGAATCCTTGAATGTTCTCGTCCCTGTCTCTGTAGGTAAGATAAAGAAACTTCACACCATCTCACTTTTCAGAAGCAGCAGCTGTTTCTAAATCCATCATTGTGTTTATCTCAGTTCGCACAGATGACAGAGTTCAGGCCTTTTTTTTCTTCCTCTTCTGTAAATCCATTTCTCTGGGAGAAATTGCGGCTGAGATGAGAGATACTGGCCGTAGACTGAGCCGTGTTCCTCCTCTTAGATGTTTTCTCTTTTACTTCTTAGTAAAAATAAGTTTCCTGTGAGTAGTTGGGAAGAAAATTGCTCCTCCATCTCCGGGCGGTGCTTGAATCAAGCTGTAATTGAGTCTGAAATAAGAAGAATTGGGCCGTTGTGTGGACCACAGATGTCGACCTCAGTCCAGACCTTCATTTATTAAGATTTTTTTTTTTGTCTGGCCAACTTTTCCGTGATATATTTCTCGACAGCACAGCTCATCTCTTTGTCTACGTCCTAATATGACGTCATATTTAGAAGAGCCTCATCAAGATCAAGCCTAAAAATGATGGGATTTGAAGTGGGTTTTTTTCTGTTTCTCCTTAGTCGCTGTGCACGGCTCAGAATGTGAACTGCAGAGACCTGGAGGGGCGTCACTCTACCCCCCTTCACTTTGCTGCTGGATACAACAGAGTGTCAGTGGTGGAGTATCTCCTGCATCACGGGGCCGACGTGCACGCCAAGGACAAAGGGTGAGAGACCACAAATTTATGGCGCCACGCACACTTTATTTCAATAGAATCTTTAATTACAACTGTAAAGAAGTATAGTTACGTTACCAAGGATCAGTTAAAGGGCTGGGCTTGGTTTGAGTGGGTTGCCTTTTAGAATCTCAGACTCTCAAACTAACATAGTACTATGAAAAACACAGGGATCATTTTTTGCCAATCACAGTACAAACTGATGTGACAGAAAGTAGAGTTAGCTGAACCCAGGTCTAGCATAATTAGCCAAAAAGCTTCTTTAACAAAACTTAAAAAAGGGTAACTGTGGGCTATAGTACTTTGGGTACTGTGATAATGTATTACAGTTATTCTGACCCTTGATAAATGAATTGAATTCTACAAAAGAATGGCAGGCAAGAAAATAGTAAACATTTTTTAAAAGATGAATTAAAAAACATTAGATCAAAGTTAGCGTAAAAGGCTAATTTAAATATACAGAGACATCCAAATTATTACTAAAGAAGTATTTTGTAGTAAGAAAAAAGTATAGTTGTGCTAATGGTTGAGGAAGTAGATTCCCAACTAAAGGTTTTAGCTTAAAATATCTACAGCTAAAAAACAAGGAAATAATTATATGTAGATAGTTAAATTGTTTTACAAATGTCTTAATGACAGGAATGAAACGTCTTAGATTAAAACAATATAAAATACATAGAAATCAATTTTTCAAGTTTTCACTGTTTATTCTGATATTTTACTTTTCAACGATGTCTTGTGTTTCCAGTGGTCTGGTTCCGCTCCACAACGCCTGTTCGTACGGTCACTATGAGGTGGCAGAGCTGCTGGTCAGACACGGCGCCTCGGTCAACGTAGCCGACCTGTGGAAGTTCACTCCGCTGCATGAAGCTGCCGCCAAGGGCAAATACGAAATCTGCAAACTGCTGCTAAAGGTAGTGTTTTTTGTCAAACATTTGTCAAATTTACCACAACAGGATCAGCTCCATGAACCCTGCAGCTCAGTGTTAAACTGTATGGCTTTCAGAATGGCTTCTTTGATTCACAGTGGGTTCTAGAAACTTTTAGAAACACACTATCCTCATTATAAGTACAGATTGTGATTTTGACTTGTTGATGTTAAATCTGCACTCAATGTGTTGTTCTGTCACTAATGTGAAAAAAAAAAAACGTATCTCACTTGGTGTGAAGCAAAGAAATCACAGCCAGAGCATTTAATCAGGAATAACAAATATCAGAAATAAACTCTCACTCACACTTCATCTAAATGTATTCTTTAACCCTGTGACTTTCACAATCCTAATGTGTGTGTGTGTGTGTGTGTGTGTGTGTGTCACATACAGCATCAGATAAAAATACATCACCACTGTGCTGTTGCCATCTGAAGCAGCATGAATTAATGTGGATTGAAACCAACTCACATAATGGACAACATTAGCATATCAGCACATTGTATATATATATATATATATATATATATATATATACATATATATATATATATATATATATATATATATATATATATATATATATATATATATACATATACATATATACATATATATATACACACACACATAAACAGCCCAAGTTAACTTGAAGCTAATTAAGTTAAGTCAGGGGATAATAAAGAGTAGCTTTTATAAGTAAATTGGCTAAAGAATATAGCAAAGACAGCTATTAGTTAGCTGTGCAGTCCGCGGGCCACAACAATTCCCTATTTCAGCGACATAATCTCAATGAGAAGGCAATCAGACTATGTCTACCAGGGTTGACCGTTTAAGCTGCTCACATGCAAATGTCATTTATATATTTGTATCCGACGGTCAAACATGCAGTGACATGGCACTAATGCTGCCGCCGCCTCTGGGTCCTCCAGTGATTTCTCTTAGGGCAGCCAGTATGAGCTGCAGTAGTAAGGACTGAAGAGGCTGTGACCTTGCTCCAGAAAAAAAAGCCAACAGAAAAACAAAAATCCATGCAGACACATATTTTAGTTTCTACTCAAACTCTGCTAAAGAAATCAAGTAGCCCACAGTGTGACCCTCGTTATGCAGTGCAGCTGCTGCTTGGTATTTATAGTTTAAACACATAGTGTTGACCACACTTCCGCATGTCAGACAGACTCGGCGGCACCATATACTGTGCATATTTAACACTAAATTAAAAGTGAAACTTCCCATCGACTATGGTTTTTGTGATGTAGCCTAGACCTGAATGACTTAGCACCAAAGTAGGACTATAAATAAAACAATTACAGCGCAACATTAAAACAGTTATCTTCACTGTAGAGTGTGAAGTGCAACAATGTGGTAGTTTGACGTGTCATTGACTTTGGCCAGGATCAGGCTAATGTTGGTCCAGAGTAGCAGACTTGACTATCTGTAGTTTCCTTGGCTACTCGTGTATTAACAACAGGTACTTCAAAAATGTGCCGACGTCACTTCTTAAACTCCTTGTTAGCTCTGAGATCTCGGTTTGACTTTGCTCCTTGTGATCTGTTGTGATCCTGGCTGCTGGGCGTGTCATCTGCATTTGAATAAAGCTGATACTTTAGTTTCTCCGGTCCAGACACCGACTGATCTGACCGTTTCATCTCCTTCAGTCACACGCCTGTAGGCACGGGTTAAAAACACAGACAGGTGATGAATCTGTGTGTGAGTTGGAGTTTTAGATAAACCCTGTCCTCATTTGTCCCTTTAACACGTTGAGAAACACAAACAGGAAACAGTGTTTCCCCACACGCTTGTGTTAATCTGCCATGTCCTGGGGATCCATGTGTTCTTTTGTTTTTGTAGAAACTAATCCAGGGTCCAGCAGTAGGTCTTTGCTTTGTTCGGTTTCATCAGTTCTTTCTCTCGCTCTCCTCTTTCCTTCATTTTCTGGGATTGTGCAAAGAATAAAACACTTCTGCTCTCTGCTCTGGCAGATGGTGGGAACAACAAAAGGCCTGTTAGCAGGTCCGTTGTTTGTAAAGAAGTGAAATGTTTTTTCATTGTGAAAACAGGGTTTGAAAAAGGTGTTTGACTGGAACTTAAACATGACAATGTTCTCTTTGTAGAAGCTTCTATTGAAGCACTAAATGTTTTTTATATTTTGACATGACTTTGAATAGACTGTAAAACATTTATTTTGATTATAATTAAAAATGAGTTGTGCACAGTTTTAGTATCCAATGCTATAACTCAGGGTCACCAAGGGTCAACAACAATTTATGTCGGAGGGCCAGTTTTTCTGGACAAACACCTTGGTGGCCAGACACTCAAATAATATAAAATTGTGGTAGAATTCCATTTTTGTCCAGTATTAGTATTTGGTTATTTTGGCATTGATCCACGTGACGTCAGTTGATGATCACTGCTATTGACACTACAGTGTGCAGGATGAGATGTGTTTCACAAGATTCAAATCACAGAGGGTAAGTGTGTGTCATTTGCACATTGGAAACAAAATGTTTTTTTTAAGGTTTGTTTCAACTTATTAGTCGTAATACTTTAGCAACACAGTAGCCACAGTGTTTTACAGTGCAGGGGAACACGCTGCAGCAAACTAGCTTAGCATGTGACCGGTTAACTGTACAAATGACTTCTACACACTAAGGATGAAGGTGTTGTTTGCTTGCTAATGGCAGAATTCTGAACTAGCGTCACCTTCAAATATGACTGATGTGCAACAATGAGAGCTTAGAGCGACATCTGCTGGACTGGAGTAATAATTAATGAGGGTGAGGGTGGATTAATGAGTCAAACCGGGCTTTAATTCTTCAAATTAAGTTTCTCCTGCTCAGACGAACGTTAGAACTTTTAAAGAAATATTTAAAAAAATGACAGAAAGCAGTAAAGCATTGAAAGTATTAATGTTGTGGCTTTAAGTTATTAGGCCCTGGAGAAATGGTTTAAAATGATTTGGAATCCTATTACTAATGGTTCCGTGTGAGCAGCAGTAAAACCACTTACCACCGTGAGGACGTGAAGAAACCAACATTTATTTATATGTAAATGTCCCTCAATTATTTCCACCCCTGATTTCGTCCTGTGTGGTGAATAAATTGCAGTGGGAATTTGATTTTCCCAGCAGCCGGGAGATAAAAAAAAAAATAAATGAATAAGTTAGACTGAAAAGCCATAGCATAGATAGGTTTAGGAAATGTCTCTTTACAGCGTTACGAGACTTCCAACAGACGTTTCCAGGCCAGTGGTGGACGCCCTGGAGAAAAGTCCCTCAACTTCTTTTTTTTAATGAGCAGATTTCAGGAGTTACAAAGAAATGACATGTCGGGTCTTGACCGAGGAGACAGATGAGCAGTGAAAGTGTCTCCAGGGTATTTGGTGTTTTCCACTTCAGTGGGTGTCCTCACCTCTTCTTTTGTCTCATACTTTCTCCTTCTTCCCTCTGGTGAATTACCTTCATCCTTGTCTGAACTCATCACATGTTGTCTTCAAACTTTTTTTCATTAACAAGAAAGGAATGGCGGGTTAATATTTGTCCTAAGCTGAAGATTTAATGATGTCTCTGACTGACATTTAAGGAGTTGTTAATGTTTCTTCTCTGTCAAATATCAGAGAAGATTCTTCACACTGATGTGTTTGTTCTTTCCTGCAGCATGGAGCCGATCCGACCAAGAAGAACAGAGACGGGAACACGCCTCTAGACCTGGTGAAGGACGGGGACACGGATATCCAGGATCTTCTCAGAGGCGACGCTGCCCTGCTTGACGCTGCCAAGAAGGGCTGTTTGGCCCGGGTGCAGAAGTTATGCAGCCCAGACAACATCAACTGTCGGGACACGCAGGGACGAAACTCAACTCCGCTGCACTTGGCAGGTAATTCAACCGGAGACGGAGTCATTCCAGCCCAGGCCTGATTTGTACTTGAGTCCCTACAGACTGGACTGAACCTCCCAGACCTCTGTGGTTATGTGCAGCCCACTTTGCAGAAACGTTTAAACTCAGTATGAAGCCTGAGTGTTTTTAACCAATTTTTTTTTTTGACGTCCACAAGATTGAAGTGACTTTGGCCGGTCTATGTGTGCGCTGCCATTCACTCAGGCTCTGTGGTCTTAGTTAAGGTCGACCTCTGGAGATGTTGGCTTAGTGCAGAGCCAAGAACAAGGCATCAAACACGTCTGGGCAGCGTAGTGAGTCAGGGAGGGCAACATCACACCGTTCAAAGACATGAGTCAGAGCCACTTCAGCCATTCAGTCATCACTGTTTTTAATCACACTGTTACAGTAATGAATTTCATTAGCTTTAACAGGCACATCACCAAACATCTGAAAATACAAGGTGCAGTTTTTGACCAGTGTTTCACTGACTTCATTCATAATTTCTGCTTTCTGTTCATTCATTAGTCAGTTTTTTCATATACAAATATATTCTGCACATATGACTCATCGTTTATCCTCGGATATTTCAGTCCTGGTTAATTGTCATTCCATGCAGCAGCCATAATCTCTCATTTCCACATAGTGTAACTTGCATCATAAAAAAAGTGAAGGAGTAAATAAGGAGACAAAGCAGGAGAGGAACAGCACTGAAGTAAAAGTGTGTGTTAAAAAATAGAGTCAATTAAAAAGGAAAGCCCTCAGGGGAGAGTTCACACTGAGAAGACCATTCATAGAAAGAGAGACCACTGCGTTGTTCCTCTCCTGTCTCATTGGTCCTTTCCTGGAGGGGAAACTTGTCCTTTTGTCATCGTCAGTTTGTTCCGTGTTCCTTGGACTCTTGACTGTGGACATGAGTGGATCGTGTCTGTTTTAATTACAGCACGCTCTGCAGCCAGACAGACATGAAGGTGTATGAACGCCTCTGTTTTTATTTCACACACATTCATTCTGTGCATTGATGAATGGTGGTGAAGATGAGAAGATGCTGCAGATGTAGTCCGACCTTCTCTCTGTCTCCTTCATTCCTCCTTCCTCTTCTTCCTCGTCTGTTATCAGAATATATTGCTGTTTCTCTCTCTCTCTCACTCTCTCTCTCTCTGTCTCTCTCTCTCTCTCCCTGTTTAACAGCCTGTTTTTATTTGAATCCTGTCGTGTTCTCCTAACTTTACGACCTGTTCTCTGTTTCTGTAGCTGGATACAACAACCTGGAGGTGGCAGAGTATCTGCTGGAACATGGAGCCGATGTGAATGCACAGGACAAAGGAGGGCTGATACCTCTACACAACGCTGCTTCATACGGGGTAACACACACACACCCAAAGACAAGCATGTTCTCTTTTTATATGGTAATGAGTAGGAGTGTGTATTGGCAAGAATCTGGCGATACGATACATGTCGCAATACAGACACAACGATACAATATAATGCGATACTATGGGCACTACGTTGTGTTGAATTTCTTTTTAAGAATTTGTCACACAATGTTGGCACATGCTTAACATTAGCTTACTAAAATTGGAACAGAGGGATGTGCAGTTGTAATTTTTTCTGGTTGTGATTTTTTCATGTACACCATAAAAGTTCCTCTTGGGCAGGCACAAAGGCATTGATGGTCATCTACCTAAATGGTGGTAGAGATGATGGAGGAGATGTTTTTTACACATACACAGAGACATCACTAGTCATATTATTAGTTCTAATTTCCAGAATCGTTGTTTGTTTATTTGCACATGGGGTACAGTTCAGCTCAGGTGCGTCTTGTTTTACGGTTCTACTTCTCTGTGCTGCGTTACACCGGTTCTGCTTCAGAAAGTTTGTTCTTAAACTTAAACGTGACCTTTTTGTAAAAAGGTCCCCAAATTCAAATGGAAAACTCGGCCTCAGATGATTAATTCCTGGGGAAAATCTTAAGACTGGGGGGAAATGTTGGCATTTCACTTTATGGAAGGTGTCCAGGGTTTTTTGTTTTTTACATCAAAATTCATGAGGAAAGAACAGGTGCATTTTTCCCTGGTCACAACATTTTGTTCAGAATTTATGAACAAAGGGTGGCTCCCTAGACAGAGTGATGTTTGTGTTTGTTTCTTTGTTGTCTCCTGATTGTGGATTTGAAAATAGACTGATTAGTTCCATCTTTTCTACACTAAGTCGGATGATTAAATTCATCAGTTACTGTTATTGACGTTTTCCTGCTTCTCTGAACAGGAGCATGTGAATTTTAATGTTTTATTTCTGTGTTGTCTCACTGTCAACCTGCTGCTGTTATGGAATAGAGAGTCAAACACCGCTTTTAATGAAAACTTAATGAGCTCCACACTGTGGGGACACAAGCATGCTGTGCATTGTCTCCCACTCTATTACACAGCCATGGGCTGCATGGTGTTTGATGCTGAGACAGTGGGAAAGTGGGCTGGAGACGGAACAGGAAGAGAAGGAGCAGTGACAAGTTTAATAATTCTGTTTGGAATGATGTGAGGAACAGTAATTATTAAAACCTCTTACCTTCTACTCCATGTCTTCCTTCTAGCACGTGGACATCGCCGCCTTATTGATCAAGTACAACACCTGCGTCAATGCCACAGACAAGTGGGCATTCACTCCTCTCCACGAAGCAGCCCAGAAGGGCCGCACTCAGCTGTGTGCTCTTCTGTTGGCCCACGGAGCCGATCCAACCATGAAGAACCAGGAGGGACAGACACCACTGGATTTAGCAACGGTACAAATAGTACACTTACATCTTCATCACTTCCATTTAAGGAGAGTCCATTAATGGCTGGAGATGTTGTGATGAAGGTTTTAACAAAGGAAAGATAAATAACATATATAGAATTTAATGGGGAAATAATTCCAGTTGAACTCGTCTTAGTGGGACAGTAAAAGTTTTACTGTAGTATTTATGGTATAATTGATTAGTTAATTGATTAGTTATCAATTATAATTGGCTGCTTAGATTAGGGGTACACCAGTCAGGGCTGATCATTCCTTACTGTATAGGCCCATGTGGACTGCATGGTTTGACATTGGTTCCTGGACAGTCATTTAGACCAAGAAGCGTCCTGGAGACCCCTGCTGTTCACAAGAGGACAGGTGTGCAGGTATTTTAGAGCAGTTCTACTGCTTCTGTGAGTTGAGTTGCTTGACTGCCACCTACTGGGTCAATTTTTTACACCTCAATATTCTCTTTAATTAATGGAAAAGTTAGGGAAAAGGACACAGAAGACAGTTACTTCCTGTTGCCAGTTCAGTTTATTACTTAATCCAGTAACTGTTTAGTTGTACATTAGTACAACTTGTGAACCTTTCAGAGTTGCATCTTCAGTAGTTGACATTTGAGTCACACTCAATAAAACAAATATCTCATCTGTCTGTCTGTCTGCGTTTCAGGCCGATGACATCAGAGCCTTGTTGATTGACGCCATGCCACCAGACGCCCTACCCAGCTGTTTGAAACTTCAGGCCACAGTGGTGAGAAGCTTCAGACCTTAACGTTAGCACAGCAGAGGTTAAAACACTATCCTCTGTGGATTTATCAAGTCTTTACTGTTAGAATAGATAGAATCTCAGCTGTTGAAGAGGAGTTGTAAAGGTTTCAGCTTCTACTGACTGCAGTTCAGCTGTCCTCACTAATCTTCTTCACTTCTTTCAGGTGAGTGCCAGTGTGGTGAGCGGTGGAGCTGCAGGGGGCGTTGTCATCTCTCCATCTCCGTCCCCCTCCTGTCTCTCAGCTGCCAGCAGTATAGACAACCTGACCACACCCCTTGGTGACATCACAGTAGCAGGAGCTACTGGAACGGGAGACGGAGCCTCAGGGTCGGACAGAAAGGAAGGAGAAAGTAGGTCGACCCTGGTGTCAAAAAATTAGCCTGAACTCAATTAGCCAAAAGTCAATCAGCCAAAGTGATGTAAAAGTGACAGCAAAAAATTGCTGTGGGAATATATCTTAATATTCCAGAAATATTTAGTAGAACAATATTAGAATGTACAGTGTGCCTAGGAAAGGGAATATACATTTAGGTTGTGAAGGTGATTTCTGAACTTTGTGACGTCACTCTGACATCACTGTGACGTCGTTGTGTCTCTGCAGGCCTGCTGGACATGACCATTAACCAGTTCTTAAAAAGCCTGGGGCTGGAGCATCTCAGAGACATTTTCCAGAGGGAACAGGTAAAAACACATCTCTCAAGTGCTGTATTTCAATCAAAACACTTTTTGATTATTGCCCATATTCAGTTTTTTGACTTAAGAGAAGAGGAAGGGAGATAGGGTGACAGATGAAGCAAGTCTGAAATGACAAGATCCTGGTTCCCTGAAGTCCAACACAATAAAAGTAGAGAATATCATGGCTGAGCAGGGATTTGTCCACATATTGGTGTGAGAAAATCAGAGCATAAAGGTGAATTTACAAAATGAGTTTCAGAGAGACCGAAAAAAGTCCCACAATCTACTTCAGAGTTTAAGAGGTCAAGGGGCAAAGGGAGAATGAGGTTTGAGGAGAAAAAAAAAGTGAGGATAGAATTGAAAAGTGAAGACGGAGAACAGCTGAAAGTCTGAGCACAGAAGGCAATGTAGGAGGAGCACAGTGTGTGTGTGTGTGTGTGTGTGTATTATGGAGTGAGGAAGTTACAGCTTCATTAGTATTCCCATAGATAGTGAGATTACATTAACGTGACAGTTACACATTAACCAACACCAATGAACGTCTGCGTTACACATATATTTTATTTAGTGTTATTCAGTGTGTTTAGCGTTTACTCAGTTTGTTTGAATACAGCGCCATCTTGAATCTCATGGGTTACTGCAAGGCATAATATGTCAACAATAAGCTTCAGAAAAACACTGTATATTGTGATTTTGGCTTTTAAATATAGTAAAGATAGTGTCCATCTGACAGTTTCACACACATCTGAGAAAGAGAGCGAGTGAGAGAGAGAGAGAGCAAGACACACACAGACATTCAGAGTGAGAGAGACAGACAGGCGTACGTGCCTGGTCTTGTAGCTTGTGCATTAAGTCTTTCTCACTGATCAGGTCAGTTTTACACGGCAGGCCAATCAGTTTTAAGTTTGTCTTTGAACTGTTTTCTATTGGTTTTCTATTTACTCACAGGTTAGAGCCCAGTGCCCTTAATCTGGAACTGTTGTCTGTGCTCCTTATTTACAGGAAGATAAAGTAAATACGCCCCCTTCTGCTCTCATTTCTTTAAGTGTCCATGTTGACGGCTTCACACTGCACTTTGTCTGTCTGTGGTGAATGTGATATAACAGTCTTCTGCTGAAATTAAGGATTAATGTGTTTACTGTTAAAGAAAGTTAACTTTTATATGGCAGACCTGATGATTCACAGCTGATCACAGTGGGAGGCAGATAAAGGTTAATGTCTGATTTTAAATTAAAAAAGGCAGAAAATATCCTTCACGCAGCCTCCAGGATGAATCTCATCTCACTTCCCCCTGAACAAACTCTCCATCATACATTTGCATATCAAAGCACTGATTGGCGTCATCATATCATCGACCTTTTCTTCTGCGTCTCGTCCATCTTTCTCAGCAGAACATTAGTCAAACCTGACGCCTGTGCGAATGTAATGATACATTTTGATTGTGAGTGATTCGGCAGCTCCTGATATTGTCCTCAGTCACAGGGGATTTGTCTCCTTCTGTATCTTTTCTGTTTAAATGAAACACAACACTCTTGTCTGTCTTTACACAGCACTCGTTCTATCAATATAGTACGGGAACATATTAAGCGGTTTAGTCCTGTTGTCCTAACAATCCATGTGTAATACGGCTTTTGTTTAGAGAGCAGAGAAAATACAATAGATGAGATGCATTTTTGTTGTTGTTGCCGGGCAGATTTCACTGGACGTGCTGGCAGACATGGGCCATGAGGAGCTGAAGGAGATTGGCATCAATGCCTACGGTCACAGACACAAACTCATCAAGGGCATCGAGAGGCTGCTGGGAGGTCAGCAAGGTCAGGAGTACACACACACACACAGACACACACATCCACACAACAGCTAGCTGTGAAGAGATTCTGATTTTTTTTTTCTTCCTATTTTTACCTGTTGGTTTGTAGGTGCTAACCCGTACCTGACCTTCCACTGTTCCAGTCAGGGCACTGTGCTGATTGACCTGTCACCAGACGACAAGGAGTTTCAGTCCGTGGAGGAGGAGGTACAGAAGCCACAGGCTGTGTTATAATTTTAGACTTGTTTTGACTTGTAAAACAATTGTCAGGCACACTGCTCACTTTTCACCTGTGTGTCTTACTAAAACAATTGTCAGGCACACAGCTCATGTTGCTCACTTTTCACCTGTGTGTCTTACTTCCTAGCTGATTGTATGCCACAGAAGCATACATTGAATCAGACACTAGGTGTCAGTGTGAAGAGTTATAACAAAACCTTGCTGTGGCTCAGAATAAGAAATATATTTATATAGCAGAAAAATATTTGTGGCTCCGTAACCTGCAAAAAATATAACAAGCAACGACTAAATGACAGCAAGGTAATAGATTAGCATCAATCACAGCTTTAAAAGTAACCATGACAAAAAAAATGGTCAAGAATGACTTGAAGAGAACTGTGGAATCAGCAGAAAAAAGGATGAAATCAGTTAAGAAAGTTAGGCAGAAACTAATAACTACAGCTAAAATATATACACCAAAAGTTCCTGATCTTTTTTTTTTCAGCTTTTGAGTTAAAATTTTATAACAGAAATGTTTATTTACACGTTTTTATTGTGTCCCACTAAAAAAATACACCCTGATTCCCTGAATTAGACCAACCATAGTCCAGGAGTAGAGGAAAGACTGCAAGAGACTACTTGAAATAACGGTCAAGAAAAAAGTAAAAAAATGTATCCCAGAAAAAGACAATCTTAGTCAAAAGTAGCTAATTTAATCCAGTCATGACCAACATGTACAGTAAACTACAACAAAGAGATAGCTAATTTTAATTTAGCCCAGATACAGCTCCAAGGATAGGCTTAAAGTTAGCCAAATTCATAGCCCACAAAATAGTTAAGGAAACTCAAGGGAAAGCTAAAATTAGCAAATAAATAAACCTGCAGCTAACTTTCCAGTTGTTACGTTGCATTAGCTTCCCAGTGACTTTATCTTTAACAGTGATTCTATGTTAAAATCACTGGACATTTACAGACATCAGTCTCCAAACTACTACACACAGGAGAGGAAAATAGAACTCACTGATTTTCTACTAGACATTATCTTTAGTCTAGGTTCTTCTGAGAAGTTGTGATAAAAAAATACTCGCCTCAAATGTATCTGTCAATCAAATATGCATTTACAAAGTTTCCAACTTGACTCCGCAGCTGCAGAGCACGATCAGAGAACACCGCGATGGAGGCAACGCAGGCGGAGTCTTCAGCCGGTACAACATCATCAAGGTGTGCTGTGGTTTCACACTCTTTTGGAAAGAGCTCAGATAATGAATGGGATTATAATGAACACACTCTGAAAAAAATCCTTGTTTGACTTTTCTGTATTGATTTTAGTTCTTAATTATCAGAAGATGGTGTCAAGGTTTTTTTTTAATTTTCCTCTTTTTTTTCTGTCTGCAGATCCAGAAGGTTGTGAATAAGAAGCTGAGGGAAAGATACTCTCACAGACAGAAGGAGATTGCTGACGAGAATCACAACCATCACAACGAACGCATGCTCTTCCACGGTAGGACGAGAGAAGTTCTCACAGAAACTGTTTAAAACAATCAGTGTAGGAGAAGCTAAAACCAAAAGGACAGCAAAAGTGGCAAAAAAGCTCATCTTTTATGAATAGTCGTAGCTTTTATATGTATTCCAAATGTACATTTTATTTATGTTTTCTTAGAAAACCTGTTTGGGGCTAATAAAACATTTTCTTTTGAGTAATATTTGTTTTCATGCTAATTTCTGTTATCTTTCCCCCTATTTTTAGCTTCTTTTATTAACTAGCCATGGCAAGTTTTTAACCAGCATATCTTCAGTTAGTTATGTTTAATTAATATGTTTCCTATTCTAGTTGAGTAATTAATTTCTTTTAATAGCTTTAATTTTTTTTTTGACAAATCAAAGAAAAACTCTGGCCAAAACTTAAGTTCAGAGCTAAGTTTAGAGTTTAGAGTTTTAGCTAAAACACAGCTTCTATGTAGCATAAAATATAGCAGAGCAGATAAAGTATGCAAAATTAAAAGTTAAACCCTTAATAATACCTTGGCTAATGTAAATTAAAGTATCTACAAATTCGCTTAAAGAAAAGCTAAAAATCAAAAGTCAAAAAGGTTGACTTTCCTGCAGCTCGACAGAAATGTTCAAACATTTCTTTTTAAACCAACTGCGTATAAATCTATGGAAAATTTAAACTTTGCAGTCTGATGGGGTTTTTTCCATTCATTTTGGAGCTGCTGCTGCGTTTCAGGTGACTGAGTATAATTTGTCCAAGATGGCAACAGTTTTCCCTCTTCATTAACTTTTCCCTTTTCCCTGCGGCTTCAGTCCCTTCCTGTCAGTGGACGGGAGTAAAACACAGCTTGTTGTTCTGCCCCAGGACTCAGCTGATCTTAGAGACGCTCTTTCATGAACTCAACACTTCCTCTTCTCTCAGCCTGACCGAGACTCAAATCTTACTCTTGGTCTTTGTTTTCTGTACCATTATATTAAATATACCCATTTTGTGGCTAGCAATTAGCTTTAGTTTAATTAACTCATGACTGACTTCTTTGTATTCCTGCTTAAGTTTAGAATAAATGATTGTATCAAATTATCACAAGGGTTTAAGCTACGTATCTTTAAAGTTACTTACATTAGCTACCTTTAGCACTTAAGTGCTAGCTTAAGTTATTCATTTCACTTTGTTCTTATGCTAGCTTAAGTTATTCATTTCACTTTGTTTAGTCAAGGTTTGGTTAACATGTGGCTTGTTCTTGATTTTTTGGTTATCACTTATCACTGTAAACTATATATCAAAAAGCTAAAACATGTAGCTTAATAAGTAGCTTCAAGTATGCTAAGAAAACAGCTAACATCATTTGAGGATAACGCCCAGATATTTCTACTGTTGTCGTCTCTTGTCATTTTTGGATGACTGCCTTTGAACAGTTAATAAAATGTCAAACAGGACGACACGGTGGCTTGTGGGTTATAATATTGCCGGACTGGAAAGATACAACTTTTACTTGAATAAATTCAACATATTAATAATTGTATTTCCTGTGACAATGTTCCTTTGTCTTGGTCTCAGGTTCTCCCTTCATCAACGCCATCATCCACAAGGGCTTTGACGAACGTCACGCCTACATCGGCGGCATGTTCGGCGCAGGCATCTATTTCGCCGAGAACTCCTCCAAAAGCAATCAGTACGTGTACGGGATTGGTGGAGGAACGGGCTGCCCCACCCACAAAGACCGCTCCTGCTACGTGTGCCACAGGTGAGGGCTTTTAATGAGCAGGACGAACACCAGTTACTGCACCTGTTCTCCATCCCTGTGACCATGGTGTGTGTGTGTGTGTTTGTGTTTGTGTTTGTGTTTGCAGGCTTATGTTGTTCTGCAGGGTGACTCTGGGGAAGTCCTTCCTTCAGTTCAGTGCCATGAAAATGGCCCACGCCCCCCCTGGACACCACTCTGTCATAGGTCGACCCAGTGTGAATGGACTGGCCTATGCTGAATACGTCATCTACAGAGGGGAGCAGGTCAGTGACGCACACACATACATGTATCTGTGTGTATATTTTAGTGTTATTATGGGATGTGTGTTTTTTTACACATTATTTGGTATATATATTTTAATTTATTATTTCTCTGAAGCTACGACCTGATTAGTTTCACTTTTTCCTTTTTCCACTTTTTGTCCTTCACGTCATCTACTGAAGGAAACAGGACCAGAAACATTTTCTTCATTTAAAACAAACCATGGATAAATCCACACCTCCCTCTCTGATAATTTTTTCAACCTAAAAAAAAATAACAATTTGACATTTTTACAAATTGGACTGATGTGAAATGTTTCCTTGTGCTTCATTCTTTTTCTAATGAGGCAATATTTATTTCAATGTTTGAAATATTAATTTAAAATGTTATATTGTTACACGTTGTTTCTCCAGGCCTACCCAGAGTACTTGATCACCTACCAGATCGTGAAGCCGGAGAGTTTGGCGACCCCTGCTGCCACGGCTGAACAGAAGTCCTAAACCCCAGACTCAGGACAGACTCTTGTAGACTTAAGTGGACCAGAACTGGACTAGAAGGAGTTTCAGAATCTCCACGGCTGAACGATGGCGGTCGTTCTCCACCAGAAGACATTCCTCCAGAAGTGACTCCCACCTGGGTGTTAGAAGAAAAAAAAGAAAAAGAGGTTGTGAGATTTTCAGCTGTGACGTGTTTTTGTCCAAACAGCAGCAGAAAAAAAACCGTTTCCCTCTTTCAAGTTTTTCTTGTTAATTGTTAGTTACTTTTGCAGGAGAAAATGCAAAAGGCAGAATTGATGTGTCTGGAAGCGAAGCAGTGAGCTAATTATTTTAATTAGCTGAGCTGTGGCTTAAAAAAACACATTAATTGAGCCACTAATAACATTCACAGCCCAAAAGCAAAACTCCAGATAAAATCTTCAAGGACTTTCTAAGATTACATCAGTCTTCTTCTCCTCTCTGGTTTCAACATCTTGTCTCGTCATCTTCTGGCTTCGAGCTTCATCCACAGCAACAAAACAACAACGATAAAAAGACGAAAGAAAATAGCCGCAGGCTGCGTCCAGAAAGATCAGCCGTAGTCACGCTGAGAAAACAACAAAATTCACTTCATTGTTTTTCTGTTTCAGCTCATCAGGTTTTCTCCCTGTGGTTGTGAAGCTGTAGATGATGTAAAAGGTGTGAAAACAGAGGAGAAAATGGAGATTATTTTAGTATAAAAAAATGACCAAAATAATAATCCACAGTTTGTCAGAAGAGCGCCAACTATTGACCAAGCTCCCAGTAGACGACCAGATCATAGTCTTCAGTGGAAGGCTGAGCTTGGTGTCTAACCCAGACAGCCGGGGGTGTTTGTCGTTGTTGATGTTCCCGAATGTCTCCTCTGTATTCAGGGAGTCAGAGGACGTTTCATTTTACTGCCATTCATTCATCCATGAATGTCCACACAAGCTGAAGGGACAAAACTATTTGACCTTCAGTCGACCACATACATACTAATATAACAGTGGGGTCTGATGGACGACGCAGCAGCTGAATCCTTTAATGACCTGCTTGTTGTCTGTGTCAGTGGGTTGGTTACACCCCACGCGGTGGTAGAGTGGAGTGGTTAAAATACAAAACCTCCGAATATGCAGTATCATCGCAACAGTACAACCTAAAGTGACCCTAGGTGTGAATGTTAGTGTGAATGGTCTATTGGCTCTGTATGTGACCCCTTGAAGGGCTGGAGAAGGTGTGTCACCCCTCCCTCACCCTTTGACCCCTGGGATTAACCCCAGTTTATCCCACGACCCTGAACGACAAAAGATGAATATATGAAATGTTTTTGAAGACTTTAAAAAAGTCATCAGTAAATGACCTCGTCACAAACTTAGAACCCCTCCTTCCTCCCCCACAGTAGTCAGCTGACTACATCCATCATTCACATACAGACCATGATACTCACACTTCAGCAGCTACAGTCACCACTTCACAGCCATCAACCCTAACCTCACCACCCAGTCCAGTCTGGTCGTCTTGTATAAGATTAACAACAACAAAAGCTTCACTTTGTTACTGATCTTGTCTCGTGCAGCTCTACTTTTATACATATTTTTTTTTTTTATTGTCGTTACATTTTCTCTGTCTATACAAAACAGACTTCCTTCTGCTTCCTTTTTTTCCCCAATGTACCTGGAAATATTGGTCGCCATCTTGTGGTGGCACGGAGGAACTGTTCGAGATGGCATTCAAGAGCTATATATTTTTATTCTTACTTTTTGTTTTCTGTTTTGTTTATAACCAACTAACTGTTACCGAAATGTGAAATGACCAGATGTTGTAACAACTTGACTGAAATCGAGGATGGTTAATCTGTTGACCGTCAAGAGTCTCAGTTAATCTGTGGGATTATCACCCACGACAGTCAGAGGAGCTGCTGCTCACACTCTGCACTGTGACCTTAACCCTTTGGTTTCTTCTTTCCTTCCGTTACATTGTAATTTATGAACTCATGACATTTGTACACTACATGGGACCAGGAGCGACTCTAATGTCTTTATCCTCGATGAAAAGGGAGTGACGGAAAAAGTTCAAAGGCCTTTGGAGATTCCCAGATATGATTGGGAATGGAATGGGAAGTGGCCTTATACACTTTAGAGTGAACAGACTTTGCCTTGAATTCATTTCTGGAAACACCGTTGAAGGTGACACTCACTGTCAGAAAGAAAGAGATGCTGGTTTAAGCACTTTTTGAGACCAGTTTTTGAAACTCATTAACAAAAAAAAAAAACATTAAAAATATATAACCCAATATTTGTTTCAACATTATCCTCGTCTCAGTCTACAGAGCTCCAGACATGACATTCAAAAAGGTTCAATCACTGGGTCCTTAACTGTAACAGAACTTGTTCCACTTCTATGGAGTTTTTATTAATCAAATAAGGCCAGTAATGCCTTCAATGTCTGAGGAAAATGCTGCGCTACATTTTTGTCAACTCAAGTCTTGAAAAGCTCAATTGGATGCTTTTAATTCAGATGCCTCGCCCTGTAAATCTAATGGCAGTGATGCGTCACTGTTCTAGGGCTAATCTACTGTAGGATTCATGCACTCTTACAGTGCTGGTACAAATAAAGTGAAATGTTACATTAAAAAAACTAATTCAATTCAGAACCTGAATGGAGGTGATTTTCAGTCTGTGGTGTTGAAATAATGTCAGTGATGCCTTTACTGTCCTAGGAAAGTCCGATTGTGCTTCTTACACACAATAAAATTCAAATTTTTTTGGTAATGCATTATGATGCTTGTTACAGGTTAAGCCACACGATGGCAGTATTTCATGTTGCAGATGTGCTATTCACTACACTATTGAACCACATCCACTGGCCCACAGGTCATTTTAATTAAAAATGTATTCTTTTTGATCACACGTCTGGAGCCCAGTAGATTTCTGGAGTAAGGCGAGGTTTGAGTTGAGGGTTTGAGTCCCGGCTCTACACTGTCTGCTCTTAAAGGCCTGAGATTAAAACATTTTCCCCGTCTGTTTTGCAGCCCACACAGCTGATGATAATTTATCATCTCATTAACGATTAATTTTTGGAAAGTAAATAGCGATTTAACGGAGGCTGGCAACAAAAGGAACTAAGAATCATTTAAAAACAAAGGAATTAAAATATTTAAAATGACACAACAGCTGAGCAGTGAAGGACAAAAACTAATCGGCTACAAATTCTCTTGTAATGACAAAGTTTTTAAAGACAAATCAGTGATGAGCTGCAGCACAGAGAAGAAAATACAAACTCTGTAACATAAATGATGCCGCAGTGAGCAGATTTGTAAAGAAAAAAATGGGGTCAAATTTGGATCAATTGTCTTTTTTTAACAGACTTTTGATGTGATGGTCAGGATGTGAAAGGTTTCAGGACTGCTCTGTCTCTACTGTGTGTGTGTCTGTGTGAGTGTGAGTGTGTGTTAAAGGTCAGGGCAGCCGCCGCTCTCCTCTGGTGAATAGTGTGCGGAGTGTCTGCAGGTGTGTGTCCAGTCCTGTTCACTTCCAGTAAGAGATCAGTTCCAGTGTTGTTGTGCAGCGCTGCAGACGTGGAACTGAAACTCCTCAGGAACTGTTGTTGTGCAGTGCTGCAGACGTGGAACTGAAACTCCTCACATTTGTACAGAACAAAAAGAAATCCTTAATAAAACAATGTTAAAGCAATGTTTTGGAGTTTTTGTTAAAAAAAATCCTATATCCTATATTGTTTGTTTGTGTTTATTGTAGAACATTGTTGACGTTGAAGCTTTTATTTTGGAGAGTTTTCAGAGTGGGAGAAGAATTGGGTTACATATTGTCCAGGCCTGGAGGACCATGTGACTCAAGACCACCAACTGAAGCAGAAGCAGGAAATGTTCCACAGCAGGTGTTTAACAATCACCCGGAGAATTTTATTGATAGACTCACTGGACCACAAGGGGCAGCTGACACAGTGTAAACTTACAAGAAATTGTAAATTTAACATATAAAATTGCCTTTGAATTTATACGTAACAATTAGCTGTAAGTATATCAACCCACCTGCCATTTACACGACAGCTACCTTAACCCCTGATCTCTACTCGAAATGTAACACTAATCGCATAAGGCTAACTTTAATCTCTACCCTTATCCTTTTGAGTATCTATACACATACACGTATAGGTAGAGCATATGTGTATATATACAATACACAATAGAAACATGTATATATGTACATATATTAAATACATATCTGTATATACTGTATGAGGGCCATCTAAAAGACAGGAAATAATTAAACTAACTAAGTAATAGTTAAACTAATTTGTCAAAGACATAACTCAAAAGTACAAAATAATGACAAACAATAAGAAGTAAAGAAGATGTAAAATGTAACTCTCAGGTCTATCTGCCTCCCTGCCCTTCTCCCTGTCTCTCCAGTGGTAATCAGTATCATCACACTCACCTGTGAACTCGTCAGTCTCACGCCTCTCACCTGGTCTCACCCTGGGTATAAAAGCAGCTCTCTCCCTCACACAGTGTTTGTTGGTTTGTTGGTTTGCGCTGTTGTTGTGCCGTTCATGTTGAAGCATTTCTACTTGTCTGTGTTCCCTCAGTTCATTACTTTGTTCAGTTTTGTTACATTTCCTGCCTGATCAGAGTTTTCAGACTTTTGTTGTTAAAGAAACTGCCCCTGACCCCAGTCTCCTGACAGCTTGAGTGTGGGTGCTGTGCAGGCAGAGAAGCAATTATTCCTCAGGCTTGTGAATTTTGAAGAGTTAATTTAGTTAAATTGGTTTTGTTCTTTTTACTTGAAATAATTGGAACTGAAAAAGAATTGTGAGGGTAAAAACTTATTGACAGACACTGATTTAAATACAATAAAAAAAGTAGTGATACATGCAAAAATATATTTTTATTTGTTACAATTTAATTCAATTCAATAAAATTCAATGAAGGGTGAAAGTTAGGGAATGCATAACTACATTAAAGACGTGAATATATCTGTGTATATATATATATATATGTATTACTTACACATTTTGAGAAGACCAGATGTAACAAACTTAACCAAACTCTCTCTAATGGTCCTAACCCTCATCTTAAGGGTTAGGACCATCCTAATTCTTAAGCTTAACCCCCGACTAAAGATAAGGCTTAGAGCGATCCTAACTCTCCTAACCATAACTTTCATCAAAAGATGAGGGTTAGGCCAGTCCTAACACCTTTTAAGCCTAGGCTAATTCTAACTCTTCTAACTCTAACCTAGAGATGAGGGTTAGGTTAATCCTAACTCTTTTAACCCCTACCCTTGTCTTAAGACGAGGGTTAGGCTGAATCCAACTACCCTAACCCTAACTCCCGTGTAAAGTGGAGAGTTAGGGTAATCTGAACACTTCTAACCCTAACCTTGTCTAAAGATGAGGGTTAGGCCGATCCTAACTCTTTTAATCCTAGGCTAATCATAACTCTCCTAACCCTGCCTAAAGCTGAGCTTTAGGCAGATCCTAACAATTCTAAACTTAACCCTCGTCTAAAGATGAGGGTTAGGCCGATCCTAACTCTTCTAACCCTAATCTTCTTCTAAAGAGGAGGGTTAGTCTAATCCGTACCCTTATAATCCTAACCTTGTCTAAAGATGAGGATTAGGCTGATCCTAACTCTTGTAACCCTAACCCTTGTCTAACGATGAGTGTAAGGCTGATCTGAGCGGGGACACCCAGACTTCCCTCTCCCCAAACACTTCCTCTAGCTCTTCTGGGGAGACCCGGAAGGAGCACTTTCTAGTACCCCTCCCAGTGTCTGTAAGAAGTCCAGGTATTCTGCACTGCTCTTGGGCCCATAGGCTGAAACAACAGTGAGACACCTATCCCTGACCTGAAGGCGCAGGGAAGCGACCCTCTCGCGGGGAGAATTCCAACTCATGAATGGCAAAGTGGGGAGCTATAAGCAAGCCTACACCAGCACGCCGCCTCTCGTGCAACTCCAGGTTAATAACCTTAAATATTTCCTCCGTGTCCTGATTGGGAGTGCCGGCGGGTGCGCGCCTCCACCACAGAACCAATCACCAGCCGTTGTGAATTATGAACAGTAGGCAAACGCCCACACCAGGAAGACAACCACCACCCTTTCTAACCCTTACCCTCGTCTAAAAATGAGGGTTAGGCTGATCCTAACTATTCTAACCCTTTCCCTTGTTTAAAGATGAGGGTTAGGCTAATCCTAACTGTTCTAACCCTCATCTAAAGGTGAGGGTTAGGCCGATCCTAACTATTCTAACCCTAACCCCTGTCTATAGATGAGGGTTAGGCTAATCCTAATTTTTCTAATCCTAACCTTGTCTAAAGATGAGGGTTGGGCTAATCCTAATTTTTCTAATCCTAACCTTGTCTAAAGATGAGGGTTGGGCTAAATCTAACTCAGTTCAAACCATTCTAACTATAATCTGTAATTATTAATCAAACTACCTCTAGTTGGGTTAACTCAAACATAACCCCAACCCTTTTCCTTTAACATGACCTAATTTGAAGACATCTCGCAAAACCTCACATAAGCCAATACGCAGCCCAGTACTGTCACCCTGGACCAAGCAGTGGACCAAGGCTGGAAATCTAATGACTCACGTCAACAACAGACTCTCTTCAGCTTTCCCCTATTTTCACAGTGATGAACAGATGTGTTCAGACTATAAACAACAAGGCAGAAAGGCATCCTATCACTGGAAAGGGAAATCGGGGCTGCTGATTGAAAACTTCTCTCCCAGTATGCCAATTGTGGAAAACTAAAGAACCATAAACCAATAATCATATTATTTTACAAATAATAAAAAAACATTTCAGTTTTGTTAACAGAGAATTCAGATAACAAAAACACAAAATTTAAATAAAAAATATATCACAAAAAAACATTGTAATTGTGGTAATTTGATTGTTCCACTAGATGGCATTAAAATACCGTTAAATAATACGCCTTCTTTTAGAAAATTCACGTCCAGTTGCCTAACAGAACTTTCAAACTTGACCATGACCTGGATGACTGAGGATCTTCACAGACACGTTAAATAATAGTTCGGCTCTTTTGTTAAAATGAGGCTAATGACTGTACTGGTGAAGTCCATACAGGAGGAGAAGTAGTGTTGGGTTCCGACTCAGTCAAGACACTATATGATTGATACACGAGTGGATTAGAGGAGAGAAGGGTTTATTGTAACAAAGTGGAGGAAAATGTCTAGATGTAAAAACTGGCACTGTAACACCTTCAACATCTTTTCTTTTTCTTAGGATTTTATTTATTTGTTTTTAACATGTGACATTTATTATTTCCCTATAAAATAGCACTGATTTACAGAACAAATACGGATATTTTAGGACAAGGTGGGGAGTAATTTAGACTAAAATTAATTTTTCAATCATCTTAATAGACAAGAAGCTAATTGTAAAAAAAAATATATCCAATTTGACCAATGACCAAATTAATAAATTAAAAACAAACAAAAAAATACCCTTAGGTGAAGAGAAACAAAATATTTACAGAAGATTCTGGAAAGACAAAGTCAGACAGAACAAAGAATGAGTCAGAACAGAAAACAAAGTGTAAAAAAATTACAAAACTACAAAAAAAAAACAAAAAAAAAAAAACCAAACAAGTCAACTTTGTTTGTTTGTTAAACTCACAAATCACATTTTACATTAACGGTTTTTTTTTTAAATTATCCTTAGACAAACCCTACAACAAGGAAAACAACACGGAACACATTGTTTTGAGTTCACAGTTTATTAAATATATATTAACAACAAAGTAAAAACAAACACAGTTACTACAAGATGGCCAAGGGTATTAAAACAACATTTATTTTGACCTTTTTTAAAATTTGAGTAAAATTTGGGAAATTAATTTTTTTAAAGCAAATTATTAAATATTCAAAACATGTCATATTTGGCCTGACTTGACAACCATAGCATAAATAAACAAAATAGAATTTGTATATATTTGTAATTTTTTATGTTTTGTGATATTTTACCATCTATGAATCAAATGTTTTTTTAAATTAATTTCTGTTTTTTAATCAATCAAAAATATACAGGCTGACTGCCTTATACATACAAATCTACATAAAAGACTAAATTTTTCATATGCTAAGAAATATATGGCATATTTTGTTAGTTTTTTGTCATTATACAGATATAAGTGAATTAGTTTTAGAATAATAGTATCTATAAATTACTTGTTTAATGATCAAATATAATAAAGTGTGAACTCATTAAAAACGATTTATTTCAAATTAAAATGTCTGAATAAACTATTTATTCCTGGGTTGT